GCATGGTAGATATGTTTTTAAATTGCTCTCATTTCCATACATAATTTTCCTGGTTACCATAAATCACCACATTGTCACCTAGTCCCCCTACCCTATTCAGTGTAATCTTCACACTTTATACCAAGCTGACATAAGGCTCCGAAGTAATTAAAGTCAATGTAAACAGTTTACGGTGCACTTTGCAAAGCCACTTCACATTGCAGAGTTTAATGATTTCCTTTTCTCCCAGCCGGTCCCAAAGCAGCGAAGAGGTTTGAGATAGTGATGCTGATGAAAGCTAAGGTGTGAACAGTGATCATTTCATTTCCGATGGTGACACTTCTGCCCCAGTTCTACCAAAACGACTCCTTTCCCTTTTGAATTCAGGCAGAGGGGAGTGGGTTAAGCTGGGTTAATGAAAGAAGGAGAGTCATCAGCATGGGCTGGGGCAGAGTCATTGGATTCTTTCAATCACTCTAACAGGAGGAAGAGGGCAGAATCAAATTCTTCAAATCCCCATCCACCCTGCCCATAGAGACCCTTCTCTTCTGGATGAGAACAGGACTAGTTTTCTTTAGACCTTAGTTGTTTGCCCAATTACTGGCACCTACTCGCCACTATTTCTCCAGCAATGATATCAGTTTTTGTCTGTGGATCTCCCTCCCTGACTCCAAGTCCATGTGGTTGGAGTAGATGCATTCAATTCTAAGAATGGAGCCTGTTTACCCAGGCCACAGCCAATTGGAATATCATATTCTCTTAGCTGCTGTGTTTGGTCCAGGGATGGTTATGTGATCTAAGCAAGTCATACCAGTCTACATGTCTTTGGGGATGGAGCAAGAAAAGTTCAGCTCTGTCCTTCTGAATAGAACCCAAGATGCGAAGGCAGAACTGGGGCTGCTTGTATTGCCACTAGTGGTGGGGCTGGTGACGGAAATGAACATAATGGAAGGAGACCTGAGAGAGGCACAGAGGCCAAGTCCTAAGGACACTGAACCTGAATAGGGATGTTTCTGAAGCCATTCTTCCTCTCTGACCGTCAAGTTAAATGAGCCATTAAATTCCCTTTTTTCTCCCTTAAGCCTGTTTGAGGTTTATTTTCTTTTGCCTCTTACAACAAAAGGAATCCTAACAAATGCAAAGTTTGTACCACTTATTTTGCACATATTAGCTTGTACATTTTTTGTCCTGGGTTATATTTTAAACTCTAACTATTTAAATGTCTAGATCATAGTAGATTCTCAGCCAGTGTTCAAATGCCTCTAAATTTCTACATTATTTATCATTATTATTCATACTATTTAGTATTTCCTTTTTATATCTGGATATCTTGTCTCTCCAACTAATTATATTTGTTTATTCATTCATTTTTTATTCATGCATTTATCAGTTATTTATTATATTTAATCTGTGTGAGGCACCATGGATTCAATATCAAGTGAAAGCAAAAATGTCCTTGTGCTCATGGAAATTTTAATCTAATAGGGGAGTTAGAAATTAATTAAATTATCACCTAAATATGTATAAAATTGCTAAAATGATAGTCAGCACATAAAGACCAGTGGTGCTATGAGTGTATGGTATGAGTTATCCTCATTGGGAGGTCAGGGAGGACTTTCCTGGGCAAGTGACTCTGGTGTGGAGATCTGAAGGATGGGAGGAGCCAACTAACTTCAGACACTCCAGTCAGAGGGCAGAGAGTGTGCCAAGCAAGGGCCTTGGTTGGAAGCACAACACAGTACATTTTATGAACTAGAAAGGGGCTAGTAGAGCAAAGGAGAGAATGGGAGAGGTCCAGTTTCTTCCTTCCTTCCTTCCTTCCTTCCTTTCTTCCTTCCTTCCTCCACCTGCTACTATTTTTAATCCCTCTATGTGCCAGGCATTGTCCAAAGAACCAGCCATCACATTCTAAATAGGTAATATTATTTCTGGGAATGAAAATGCTTGGGAAATGGCGCATTTTCCAACCTGGTGAAAGTGTGTGATACAATGCATGTGCCGGGGGCTTATGACTAAATCCACAGTAATAAGGGTCCCTTCCTGCTACTATTTTTAAATGGCGCATTTTTCTACCTGGTAAAAGTGTGTGATACAATGCATGTGCCGGGGGCTTATGACTAAATCCACAGTAATAAGGGTCCCTTCCAGTTTCTTCTGCAAGTGAGTTTGAGCCGTGCAGGTCTGGCAGCAGAGTGGTGGGGAGACTGAAGCTGGGACAGGAATGGCAGCCTCATGCAGAAGGCTATGTAAGTTGATGAGACTTTGGATCTAATGGCAGCAGGAGTGAGAGGAGGGCATTCTGGGGATTATTTTGTGGGGGAGTAAATAGGATCCGAGGAGCACCTGGATATGAGGGACAGAGGGGCCTGAGTCAAGGAAGACAGGATTTCCTTGCTTTGGAGTCTGGGCAGATGGTGATATTATTCTCTGGGCTGCATGGGAAGATGAGAAATTTAAGGAGAGAGGTAATGTGCACATATTGAATTTGAGGCACTTTCCGTTTACTTAGGTGTGGATATTTTGGAGGTTTTCCATTTCAAAACAAAAATTACGGTCTCAGAAGAGGGGTGGGGTTAAAGATGAAGGTTAAGGAGCCATGATAGTATGACATTCTTTGATGAATAATGATTTAGGGATATGACTATAAAAAAGAAAAATGGCCAAAAATGGATCCCCAGAATATCTGAACTTGGAGGAACAAGAAAGACGGAGAGATGGCTTATGGAGTAGTCTGGGAAGGTAAGAGGGCAGGCAGAAGGGTGTGATGTCACTGAAATTAAAAGGGGGAAGAGCATTAAGAATGGCATGAATGGTCAGTGAAATCTATTTCAGTGCATGTAAGTTAAGTATCAGGAAGACCAAGTAGAAGTAATTAGATCAGCCAGTTATGGTATTGTTAGGGACTTTACTAGAATAATAGTATTAGGTAATCGGTGGCCACCTTGCACGTGGGCAGCCTACGGAGTGATTGAAAGGAAAGAAGAGGGAGGCAGTGAATATAGGTGCTTTTTCTAAAGAGTGGTAGTGATGGGAGGAGAGGGGAAGGAAGGCAGAATTTATACAGAAAACTTCCCTCCTTCTTTTAAATAAGGATAGGTGAACCTTGGTCACACGTTGAAATTAATGAAAGGAATTTTATGATTTGTGGAGAGGGTGATATTGGAGAGGAAGCCAATATTTATTAAGTTCAGGAAACTGGATAAAAACTGAAGGAAGAAGAAAAACATAGGGGATAGATCTGGAAAGGAGATGAGAACTCATAGAGAAGGGGAGACAATGAATGAAGGTGAGCACAGAAATGGAAGGGCACAATCAGTGTATTCAGAGTTCAATTTGGTGCCAGTCTCTCTACTAGGTAGTGTTTTTGAGGCCTTAGGACATAAAAGGTGTTGGAAAAAATAAGATCACTATAATTTTAATTTTTGTGTACTCACTGTGCTAGTGCAGGCTGATTAATAAAGACACGAGGCAGAGATGGACAGGCTGCAGCTGAGGAAGTTGAGGAGCTTCTGAGCTAGCTGCCTTGTCTCTGAAATCATTGCTATGTCAGCTCAGCTCAACCATTTAGATCACCACAGAGAAGTCTTGTCTGAGGCTGAACGTCCAATTAGTGGTCAGTCACATTGCTGATTGAATTTTATTAAGGTGGATTATTTGTGATGTCTGATATTCCTGTATTTTAGAATAATTTTGATTCAATTATGAGGCAATCATCTGGTCTATGTTAATTTCAGGCAGGGCAATAGTAATCCATCAGGAACACACCTTGAGCCAAAAGCTCGCCAAGTCTATTGCTTTCCTCTTTCCCTTGGTGAGCTCTGCTCAGACGAGTGCCCCACCTCCCAATTCCTGTGAGTGTTGAATGTCTTCAAGAAGGTAATTCCTGAAGACTGCAGATCTTAAACTGGGCTCTCACCCACCCGGAGGGTGCTTGCACTGAGAAATTAGAGATCACATAAACCATCGCCCCCTTTTAGAATGCCTCCTTTAGTGCCCAGGTGAGGAAATCAAGGCCCTGAAAGATACAGTGACTTAATTGAGGTTACACAGTAAGTTTGTATTAAAACTAACATCCAATCCCAGGATGCTGACCACTCCCCTCTAAGCAGGTGGTTTAATAATAACTACCTGCTTTGTGTTTCTTTCACTCATGGGTTTCTCTCTTTCCCTCAAACCTCAGTAAATATTCTTCTTAAAGGGGTGGTGGGGTGAGAGAAAGAGCCAAGAGGAAAAATTGAATGGCTTCAGGAAGGAGAAGCACATGTCACCTGGAGGGTGGCTTTCATTCCCTTGGTGTGATCTGTTTATCTGTTGCTGTGTTTATTGGCCCTTAAGTCCTGCTGCCACTACAGTGAAGAATACATTTTCCCAGCTCTGAAGGCCTGGGAGATGGAATTAAGAGCCTTCGAAGAGAGAGTGGGTTACCTAAAATATGGGAGAATTCGTTCTGCTTTTTATTGCTGTTGGCCATTTTGGGAAAATCCCTACATAAACTAACCCAATAAAAAGTGAATGTTTGCATTAATGAAGGAATTTTCTCTTTTCAAAGGAAATCTCCCCCAGTGCTGTAAACTTTCCCAGTACTTTTAAATGTTTATGTATCAATTACCACTTGTCAGCGTAGCTTGGGAACAGGAAGCCTAGCACAGCTCTAAAGCACAAATGTTAGGCGCTGCTGTCAATTAAATATTAGTCAGAAATGATAGAAGGTTTCCCTGAAGAAGAATGATGTCAGCAGAGAAAACAGGCTTTTGTTTATGAAAATTCCACTCACAAGTACTTTGGAAGCAACACCTTATAGAAGAAAGCAGTGAGGTTTCTTGGATTGCTTGTGTTCATTTCAGTGCCCAACTCTGAAAGAGTCCACATTACTGTTTGGGAGTTGTGATACGGAAATAAAACGGGAGGCTGTGTGGAGAGTTTTCTGGCTTCTAAGCATAGGGTATCCCACTAGATGTGATCTGAGGCTGTTGCCCATAGCCCGATTGAGGACTTCACACATGGTATTGTCAGGTACATACATTTTCTCCAGGTCCCCAAATCCAGAAAATGCTCCTTTTGGGATGACTCGAAGCTTGGTGAGGACAAACCTCCTGAAAAGAGAGTGGACATAAAATATCACAGCCTATCCATTCATAAATAAGTGTCTAATGTATTATTATCAGCTAACAGCAAACATGCACTAAGTGTTTGCCATTTAATGATGGTTGAAATTGCTTTTACATGGTCTCTCTTCATCTTCACCACACAGCAGTGAAGCAGTGATGCAGGCACTATTGTTATCCCCATTTTGCATAAAAGGAAACTGAGGTTTAGGGAGGTTAAAACAGTTGCCCAGGGTCACACAGCTCATGGTAGAGCCGGATATGAACCTTGCTTGTCACCACTATTCCATATTGCCTACTGTAGCCCTTCCTCTACTCCAACCCCGAATACCTCTTCCCTTTTTGTCATTCGTAGCTGACCTTTCAAAGAGACAATGAACCCAATAGTAGAAGGCATATTTTAAGAATTTTCATTGCCTGTACTTGTATTAAGTGTTTAAAACTTAACATAATTAAATCCTCTCTGAAGATGGAAAGTCTTGATTTCCGTTTCCTGAAAGGCTTTAAACTAGATAAATTGAAGGTATTTCCACTAAAAATAGCCTAGATTTCTTATGTAACATATAAAAAATATTGTTCTAAATGCATAGCTGAGCTTGCAAGAATATATGAGAAATCTCCAGGGGTCCAACTGAAAACCTGAGCAATGAATACAAAGCAGAATACTAAGAGGGTAAACTGAAGCCAAAGTGTGAGGAAGGGCAGTTTTTCTGGACTTTTTAGCCAAAGGATTTGTGTTTTGATGGAAAACTGGTACATGAGATGAAACATGGAAGAGGGATGCAAAGATCCATTTCTTTCATCTGTCTGTGCATTCTCTCTCTCTTTCTCATGCATTTTAGAAAGAAAGGTACAGAAGATGGATGACAATTTTCAATGAAATATAATCTGGAAATTTTTCATAATTTATAAAAGACATAAATCCTCATATTCAGAAATCTCAACAAAGCCCAGGACAGGAACAAAAATAAATCCCCTGCCAGATATCTATTAGTTTAAAACTGTAGACAATAAAAATATTTTAAATTCAAACAGGGAGAAAAAGATATATCATCATCAAATTAAAAATTAGAAAACTTGTAAACATATCTTCAGACTTATTAGAGAAAATAATTGCCAATTTAGAGTACTATATCACAAAATGTTTATTTTCAAATGTGATGCTAAAGACACATTTAGAAAAATTTAATTAGCCACAACCACAAAGTTTTAGCAAAAGACTTCCTTTATAAATAAGAAAAATTAATTCAGTGGGGAAGAACAAAAAGCAAGAAGGAATACTGAACAAAGAAATTAGTGCTCCTTATTGAATAGGTGGGTTTTCATAATCATTGGAAAACTTACCTACTTATTAAGAAATACTAACAGGATATTGACTAAGAACTAGGTCACAAACAAATTGGTATCAAACAAATCATTTTTTGACAATGATGCAATTTAATTACTTTGAAATCAACAAGAAAATAAAATGAACTCCCCGCTCCCCACCCCAACACATGTGCACCCAATGGGAAAACCTAAACCAAAACAAAATAAACATCCATTTAAATGATATGGGTCAAAGAAGAAATTACAATAAAAATTAGGAATTACTTGGAATTTAATTAAAATGCAACATATAAAACTTATGGGTTGTAGCTTAACTGTTACTTATAGAGAAATTTGTAGTTCTATTATACCAGAAAAAGGAAAAAGATGGAAAATTAATGAGCTACACTTCCATAGGAAACTAGTGAAAGAACAGCAGAATCCTGGAAACAGAAAATTATAAATCCAATATGTATTTATTCCCTTTGTGGCCAGAACTTAAGGTGCAAACTCAAAAGCAATTTAATAAGAAAATTGATTAAATGACAAACTGTTGATAAAAATGTTTTGAGAAGATAAACACTCAGCTAAACTTAATTTGATACATAGAGTTTAAGTTCAATCTATATTAAATGTGGTATTTCACAATTATAGGGTTAAGTTTCTACATAAATTTATGCTAAGATGGGTAAAGAAACTTTCTTGTAATATTGAAAATTTTATTACAATAGTTTCAAGGACTCTTGATTTAGAAATCTAACACTAAAAATGATCATTATAAAAAAGTAACATTACTTGAATGTTTCTTAAAGAAAACTGTTTATCACTTAAAGTTGCAAACCCGACCTATCATGGAAGGCTTTAACCAGAAACTTTCTGATAATTAATTTGTTATGTCTTTATTAATTTAGCTATAATTAATTAAAATAAAATGTGTGTGCAAATTTCTTTTAAATAACATTAGTAAAGGCAAAAGAAAAAAGGAACTTTATTCTTAGTGAATTTTCATTTTAGAAATAAAGTAAATGAATCTAACAGATTAACTTAAAGCACAGTGCAAAGTTTAAGTATGCCTTGAGAGAAGAAATCTAAAGAAAGTGAAGAGAAAAAATAATCAAGATAAGAGTAGAAATTAATTAAAAACAATGAAGTGTATCAACAAAATAAAAAGCTAATTCTTTGGAAAGATGAATAGACTAAAATATGTTAACTTTAAGCAAGAAAATAACAACAATAAAATAGTGAGAAACATGAAACGTGACACTTAACTACCAGTATAATGGGTTTTAAATGAGAGAAACCTAGGAACAATTTTATAACATTAGATTTGAAAAAATCAGACAATATGGATAATTTTCTTAGAAATACATATTTAACCAAAACTGACTTAAGAAGATATAGAAAAATTTAATAGATCTATAAACATTAACAAATTGGGTTGGTAGTTTAAAAGCTACCCAGCATAAAACAAGGTCAGCATCATCTGATTTAAAAAGTAAATTCTACCTCTTTAAAATAATAGAAAATCTCAATCTTACACAAACTATGCCAGAGACTAGCAAAAGAAAATACTCTCCAACCCATTTTATGTGGCTGGTGTAACATCAGTAACAAAGCCAGACAGAGACAATAAAATAATGAAAATATTTAAGTCAATCTCACTTATTAATATAAATAGAAAAATCTGAAATAATATAGTGCCAAAATATATCCAATAGAGGTAACAAATAACACATCATCACCAGTTTCGGTTTGTCCAAGAATTCAAGGGTTGTTAAATATCAGAAAACTGTATTAAAGAAAATTTCCACATATCAGGAATTAAGAGAGAAAAGCCACATGATTTTCTTAAGAGTCATAGAAAATGTATTTGATAAAAACAAAAACCCATTCATGATAAAAACTTTTGACAGATAAGGAGAAGGGCGAGTGTTCTTAATCTGTTAAAGAATTAAGTCTACCAACCATTACAATAAATATACTCAATGGTGAAATATTAGACACATTCCATTAAAATTAGGAATGAGGCAGGGATGTATGCCATTACATATTTCTTTAATGTTGTGCTAGATATCTTGTCTACACAGTAAAAGAAGAAAAATATATGTTAGGATTTTTTATTTTAAAACTGTCATTACTTATAGGTAACATGATTGTCTATACAACAAAGAAACTTTATTCTTAAAATAATCTAAGATTATTATTAGAACTAATAAGAAAGTCTAGTAAGGTATCTGGCTTTATAATTAGTACACAAAATAATTTGCATTCTTTTAATATTTTAAAGTATATCAGTTACAATGACCACAAAACTTATACAATAAGACATTAAGAAAACAAGACAGTAATTTATGGAGCAAGCATAATCAAATATTTAATTTAAAGGCATTAAGAAAAGCCCTGAACAAACAAAAATAGCACATTCTAAATGGGAAGTCTCAATATTGTGAAGATATCTATTTTAATCAATATTAATACATAAATTAAATGCAAGACCCATCTAAGGCCCAATATTTTTTGTTTTGTTTTGATATGTGTGCATAGAAATTGACTAGCTGATGAATATTCAGATGGAAGAATAGCCCAAACAATTTTGAAGTAGTAAAACAAGATTGGGGAAATTATAGGTAAGGTAATATGATTTTTATGAAGTTATAGTGATTAAAATGCTGTGGTAATGACAGGATTAAGAAATAGATCAATGGAAGAGAATAAATAACACAGAAATAGACTATAAAAGATAGGTAATGGCAAATGACCAAGTAGCATTAAAAATCAATGGAGAAAAATATGGGCTAATCAATAAGGGATACTATTGTTTATCCTAGTGGAAAAATAACGTAAGATCCTTCTTTGTTACCACATTAAAAATCTCCCTTCTAGGTTTACTACAGATCTAAATGGGAAAAAGCAAAACATTAAAACTTTTAAATAAAATACAATATTCTGTTTAGAAGACTTTCTTTTAAAAGACACAAAAAACTGCACACCAAAATTGGAAAGAAAATTTCCAATACACTTGACTATATTAAACTTAAATTTTCTGTAAAGCAAAGATACATGAAGTAATTGATAAGATGAGATATAGACTTGGGAAAGATATTGACAACACAAACAACTAAAAAAGTGTTAGCACCCGGAACTTTACAAAGTAACAAAAATATACATACAACCCTGTAGAAAATTGGCAAAAGATGTGAACAGTCAATTTACATAAGAGAAAATGCAAATGTCCAATAAACATATGAAAAGATGCTCAATTTCACTAGTAACCAGGAGAATGTAAATTTAAACGTTAATTAGATACCATTACATGCCATCTCACTGGCAAACATTAAAAGGAAAACTTCATAATAACAATACTGCAGAGGTAGAGGAACAAGGGGACATTTTCTATACTCTTGATGGAAGGGTAAACTGCTACATGTACTCTGAATAGCCGTTTGGCAATATGTATTAAAGCTGAAGGTACAAGTGCTCTTGGACCCAGTTATTTCCATGTCTCTCTGCCATATGTGCACCTGGAGGCAGGTAAAAGATTAATCACTGCAACATCACTTGTAATAGTAAAAAACCTGGAAACAAACGCTGATGAATAAGCAAATGAATAAGTAGTAATAAACTGACACAATGCCAAATTATAGAGCAATGAAAAGGAATGAACTGAGTCGAGCTGCATG